CTGTCCCTGCAGAGAGCCCCGCTATTATATTTGACATTAAAAAGTATTGCGGTTGCAACATTGTATCTATTTGTATCCATTTCGGATACAGATGGGTTTTTTTTCGGATACAAATACTGTAGATACATTGTTGCAACCGCAATACTTTTTAATGTCAAATATAATAGCGGACTGGAATTCTTCTTTCTCTTCTTCCTCTTTCTCTTCTTTCTCTTCTTCTTCTTTCTCTTCCTCTTTCTCTTCTTCTTCTACTTCTTTTCTCTTCTTCTTCATTCTCTTCTTCTTCTACTTCTTTCTCTTCTTCATTCTCTTCTTCTACTTCTCTTTCTGTTCTTCTTCTTCTTCCTCTTCTTCTTCTTGTTCTACTTCTTCCTCTTCTTCTTTCTCTTCTTCTTTCTCCTCTTCTTCTTTCTCTTCTTCTTTCTCCTCTTCTTCTGCTTCTTTTTCTTCTTCTTTTTCTTGCAGGTCATGGCTCATGCGCAGATTTTTTATCGGTAAAAAGATTGGCCAATTTGCCCATCATTGCCACGAAAATCGGCCCGATCGGCAAAATCGGCCAATTTTTTTTCCAACTTTACCGAACAAACAAATTGACAAAATCCAGAAAAACGGCCTACCAATTAACCCATTAACGGTGCGAAAATTGGCCAATTTTTTTTTTCAGCCGAAAAATTGGCCAATTTTCGACCCATCTATGGCCTGCGTAAGTCTGTTGGAGCTGGTTAATTATCCTCAAATATTGCCTATCCAGGGGCGGACTGACCATTTGGAAACTCGGGCACTACCCGAGGGCCCAGGGTCTATAGGGGGCCCCATGAGATGCCCCTGGTACCTTTTTCATAGGCTTTTTTGAGTTTGGGCAAGTACACAGGGACCCCATGATCCCCTATTGCCCGGGGGCCCCATGAGTTGTCAGTCCGCCCCTGTGCCTATCATCTTATATTGATTTACTAATCCATAGACCAATACATAGATTTTTGTCAATTATTACCTAAAATCTATTAGAAATAGATGAGCATTTCTCGATGCATTTCATGAACCAAGGTCTACTTTAGAAAGATTTGATTATAATGGTGTTTATTTGATTTTTGATACAGTATTCCTCTCATCCTCTCCTGAAGAAGTGGACTTTGGCTCACGAAAGAGATTTAGAAGTGCTCATTTATTTGATATCGACTTTAGCAAATAATCAAAATCTGGATTAGTAAATCTATATAAGATGATAGTAAATACACTGTATTGCCAAAAGTATTGGGACACCCCTTCAAATCATTGGATTCAAGTGTTCTAATCATCTCCATGGCCACAGGTGTATAAAATCAAGCACTTAGATATGCAGACTGCTTCTATAAATATTTGTGAAAGAATGGGTCGCTCTCAGGAGCTCAGCGAATTCAAGCGTGGTAACGTGATAAGTTGCCACCTGTGCAATAAATCCATCTGTGAAATTTCCTGGCTACTAAATATTCCACGGTCAACTGTTAGTGGTATTATAACAAAGTGGAAGCTACTGGGAACAACAGCAACTCAGCCATGAAGTGGTAGGCTGCGTAAAATGACAGAGCGGGGTCAGCACATGCTGAAGCGCACAGTGCGCACAAGACGCCAACTGTCTGCAGAGTCAATAGCTAAAGACCCTCAAACTTCATGTGGCCTTCAGATTAGCACAACAACAGTGCATAGAGAGCTTCATAGAATGGGTTTCCATGCCCGAGCAGCTGCATCCAAGCCTTACATCACCTAATGCATTGCAAAACGTCGGATGCAGTGGTTTAAAGCACGCCAGCACTGGAAACGTGTTCTCTGGAGTGATAGATCATACTTTTCTGTCTGGCAATCCGATGGTGTCTGGGTTTGGCAGTTACCAGGAGAATGGTACTTGCCTGACTGCATTGTGCCGAGTGTAAAGTTTTGTGGAGGGGGGATTATGGTGTGGGGTTTTTTCTCAGAGGTTGGACTTGGCCCCTTAGTTCCAGTGAAAGGACCTCTTAATGCGTCAGCATACCAAGACATTTGGACAATTTCATGCTCCCAACTTTGTGGGAACAGGTTGGGGATGGCCCTAACTATTCCATGATGACTGCACACCAGTATGCAAAGCAAGGTCCATAAAGACATGGATGAGCAAGTTTGGGGTGGAGGAACTTGGCTGGCCTGCACAGAGTCCTGACCTCAAACTGATAGAACACCTTTGGGAGGAATTAGAGCGGAAACTGCGAACCAGGCCTTCTCATCCGATATCAGTGCCTGACCTCCTAAATGCGCTTCTGAAAGGATGGTCAAACATTCCCATAGACACCCTCCTAAACCTTGTGGACAGCCTTCCCAGAAAAGTTGAAGCTGTTATAAGCTGCAAAGGGCGGGCCAACTCATTATTGAACCCTACAGACTAAGACTGGGATGCCATTAAAGTTCATGTGTGTGTAACGGCAGATGTACCAATACTTTTGGCAATATAATGTATATACAGTATATAGTTCAGGCTGTAATAGTCACCTCCTCTCCAGTGCTTAATGAACTCCCGAGCCTTTCTGTCTGCGTCTATTGACATCGAGAGTAGGATTCGGCCCCGCCCCCTTGCACCTGCATCACTGGCATTGATTGACAGCAGTGGAGACCAATGGCATCAGCAAAGCCTATGAGACCAGGAAATGAGGGGAAAGAAGAGCTGCAGATGGACATAGCACTGAATCAAATGAGGGCTCAGGTAAGCAAAAGGGAGGTCAGGGGATTGATGACTAACCTTAATGCAAGGAATGCATTGAGGTAAAAAAATATTTAGGAGCTATAACCACTTTAACTGATGTATACTTATGCTGCAAAAGTTTGTCAGTGGCATCAAGGCTTTGGTGACCTGTGGTCATGAAAAGAATAAAGCTAAAGTTTAGATATTGAATAATTTGCATAGTTACCCTGGTCCAGCCTGAATCTTGTAAATATGTATGCGCTATACCTGTGGGAACCCTTTGGAAAATGAAAATCTCTGTAGTAGGCACCACTACTACAGTATAGTGACCTCCTCTAGCTGAGTGTGGTCTGCCTGCTGACCCGTTTCGGGGATGAACCTATTTCCTCAGAGCTATCAGAGCTCTGAGGAAAGGGATTCATCCTCGAAACGCATCATAGGGCTAACCACACCATCAGTCGGACACTCTGCCATCTTTGTGGCCATCTCTATGGCCTTATAGGCTATGTATATGTGCTATGTTTGTGAGTATATTTTTTTGTCATTTTACACTTTTTAATAAACCTTGGCTAATGCGCTAGGGCAGTGATGGCGAACCCATGGCACGCGTGCCACAGCCGGCACGCCGAGCCTTATCTGTGGGCACGCCAGGAGAATACCGTATTTTTTCGCTCCATAAGACGCACTTTTTTTCCCCCAAAAAAGGGGGGAAAATGTCAGTGCGTCTTATGGAGCGAATATAGAGCGGCCGGTCCGGTATTTCCACCGCCGCCGTGTCAGAATACCGGGCCGGCCGCTCAGCTCTGCAGTGGGACCGTACCTGTCCCTCTATCCAGCGGCGCGCTGTCTTCCCGGCTTCTGTAGTGTGCGTGACAGCCGGGTCCCAAGTGCGCATGCGCAAGAAGCAGTGCTCTTTGTGAATGGTAAGGCGGTACCTGGGAGACATGACAGATCCTAGAAGCCGCCGGACCAATCACAAAGCGCAGCGCTTCTCGCGCATGCGCACTGGGCATCCGGCTGTCCGACGAGCGCCCACACACTACAGAAGCTGGGAAGACAGCGCGCGGCTGGATAAAGGAACAGGTAAGATAAAAAAAAAAACTCTGCGGAAGTAAGAGCGGGTACCTGTCAAATTCAGGTACCCGCTCCCCCTCCCTCCCCAAAGGTCAGCAGTCATCTGTATTGTCCGCAGTCTCTGGTCATCCCTGTGCTGTCCGCAGTCTCTGGTCATCTCCTGTACTGTCCGCAGTCATCCCTGTGCTTTCCGCAGTCTCTGGTCATCTCCTGTACTGTCCGCAGTCTCTGGTCATCCCTGTGCTGTCCGCAGTCTCTGGTCATCTCCTGTACTGTCCGCAGTCTCTGGTCATCTCCTGTACTGTCCGCAGTCTCTGGTCATCCCTGTGCTGTCCGCAGTCTCTGGTCATCCCTGTACTGTCCGCAGTCTCTGGTCATCCCTGTACTGTCCGCAGTCTCTGGTCATCCCTGTACTGTCCGCAGTCTCTGGTCATCCCCTGTACTGTCCGCAGTCTCTGGTCATCTCCTGTACTTTTTCTAACCAAAAGCTCGATTTTCAGGTTTCATTGCAGTGTTGGCACTTTGAAAGAAATAAGTTGGTTTTTGGGTTGCAGTTTGGGCACTCGGGCTCAAAAAGGTTTGCCATCACTGCGCTAGGGCTTGCGCCACCTGTATGCTTTCTCCCAAAATCCAATTTGACAGGTACCCGCTCCCCCTCCCTCCCCAAAGGTCAGCAGTCATCTGTACTGTCCGCAGTCTCTGGTCATCCCTGTGCTGTCCGCAGTCTCTGGTCATCTCCTGTACTGTCCGCAGTCTCTGGTCATCCCTGTGCTTTCCGCAGTCTCTGGTCATCTCCTGTACTGTCCGCAGTCTCTGGTCATCCCTGTGCTGTCCGCAGTCTCTGGTCATCTCCTGTACTGTGTCCGCAGTCAGTCTCTGGTCATCTCCTGTACTGTCCGCAGTCTCTGGTCATCCCTGTGCTGTCCGCAGTCTCTGGTCATCCCTGTACTGTCCGCAGTCTCTGGTCATCCCTGTACTGTCCGCAGTCTCTGGTCATCCCTGTACTGTCCGCAGTCTCTGGTCATCCCCTGTACTGTCCGCAGTCTCTGGTCATCTCCTGTACTGTGTCTGCAGTCTCTGGTCATCTCCTGCACTGTGTCCGCAGTCTCTGGTCATCTCCTGTACTCTGTCTGCAGTCTCTGGTCATCCTTGTACTGTGTTCGCAGTCTCTCTGGTCATCCCTGTACTGTGTCCGCAGTCTCTGGTCATCCCTGTACTGTGTCTGCAGTCTCTGGTCATCCCTGTACTGTGTCCGCAGTCTCTGGTCATCCCTGTACTGTGTCCGCAGTCTCTGGTCATCCCCTGTACTATGTCCGCAGTCTCTGGTCATCCCTGTACTGTGTCTGCAGTCTCTGGTCATCCCTGTACCGTGTCCGCAGTCTCTGGTCATCTCCTGTACCATGTCCGCAGTCTCTGGTCATCCCTGTACTGTGTCTGCAGTCTCTGGTCATCTCCTGTACTGTGTCCGCAGTCTCTGGTCATCTCCTGTACTGTGTCCGCAGTCTCTGTCATCCCTGTACTGTGTCTGCAGTCTCTGGTCATCCCTGTACTGTGTCCGCAGTCTCTGGTCATCCCTGTACTGTGTCTGCAGTCTCTGGTCATCCCTGTACTGTGTCTGCAGTCTCTGGTCATCTCCTGTACTGTGTCTGCAGTCTCTGGTCATCCCTGTACTGTGTCCGCAGTCTCTGGTCATCCCTGTACTGTCCGCAGTCTCTGGTCATCCCTGTACTGTTAATTAGTTTGCACTACTGTACGAGTTGTTTTTTCTAAACCAAAAGCTCGATTTTCAGGTTTCATTGCAGTGTTGGCACTTTGAAAGAAATAAGTTGGTTTTGGGTTGCAGTTTGGGCACTCGGGCTCAAAAAGGTTCGCCATCACTGCGCTAGGGGCTTGCGCCACCTGTATGCTTTCTCCCAAAATCCAATGACCTCCTTCAGACTTTCAAGGGGCATATTTCTTTGTGTCATTTCCTTACTACCTATCACAGTTTCGGAGGCCCCCAAATGACACCTTTTTGGAAAGTAGACACCCCAATGGGTTTGATAAGAGGCATGATGAGTATTTTGCAGATATTGTTTTTGTTACAAGGTTTTGAAAAATAATATTAATAAAAAATAAAGAAAATAAAGAAAAAATACATTTTTGTTTTCTTTCATTTTCCAAAAACTTGTGGCAACGAATGAGATCTGCAAAATATCTCACCATACATTTTAGCAAATACTTTGGGGTGTCTACTTTCCAAAAAGAGGGCCTCTGAAACTGTGATAGGAAGTCAGCTGAGGAAATAACACCCTATAAAAGCCTGAAGGTGGCCTGTACATGGCTAGGCTAGCAAAAAGTCTCTCACATGTGGTATCCCCATACTCATAAGAAGTAGCAGAATGTGTTTTGGGGTGCAATTCCACATATACCCATGGCATGTGTGAGAAATATCTTATTAAAGTGACAACTTTGTGTTAAAAAAAATTAACATTTTCCAAAAACTTGTGGCAAAAAAAAAACTTCCATACACTCACCTCTCAGCAAAAGCCTTGGGGTGTCTACTTTCAAAAAAGGGGTAATTTGGGGTGTTTGAACTGTCCTGGCATTTTATGCCCAACATTAGAAGCTACACCGAGTAAATAGATACCAATCATGACATGCTCCAAAATTGCGCATGCCTGTGCAATGGCCTGTGCAACGGACGCTTTTAAAAGCCTTTCAGGTTACCACTTTAGATTTACACAGGAAGACTAGTGCTAGAATTACTGCACCATGCATGTGATACCTCACATGCATGGTGCAATTGCTGTTTATAGACCGACACGGGACCGACACTTGCATTCATCTTTGGGCTGAACGAAAAAAAAGAACCTAACAGATTCCACCATTCACATTGATCGATGTGGATGAAGAACTCTCTGCTAAAAAAAGGGGAAAAAATATATGCCGAAGCATAGGAGCAATTTGCCCACTGACCACCCCAGACCCCTAAATTCCGGGTTGGTCAGTGAATGGGAGAGGTACAGATGCTAGGCTGCCAATCAGGATTTATAAGCACATCTGGAACCACACTATGGGCTCTATGGGCCTGCATTTGAATTCTTGGTGACTGCGGGATGCTACTAGTGCTAGCCACCGCACCAGCTTGGACTGCACTTATGGGCCTCAATACATAACTGCATTGCTGGTGTGTAAAATGCAAGGATATACTAGGCTGCTAGTGCCTGCCATTTCACCAAAAGGTAGTGCGGCACTAGTACTTAGACCCTGCTGCGTATGAGACAAGTCATGAGTTCCTAGCACTTCAGCTACATGGGATCGGGTATGCCTCATCTTTATTATTTATTTATTTCAGGTACTTATATAGCGCTGTCAATTTACGCAGTGCTTTTTTATATATATATATATATATATATATATATATTGAACATTCACATCAGTCCCTAACCCTTAGGGGGTGTACAATCTAAGGTCCCTAACTTATATTCATACATACACATACTAGGGAAAATTCAGACAGAATCCAATGAACCTACCAGCATGTCTTTGGAGTGTGGGAGGAAACCGGAGTACCCGGATGAAACCCACGCAGGCACAGGGAGAACATGCAAACTCCAGGTAGGTGGAGCATGGCTAGGATGCGAACCAGTGACCCTAGTACTGCCAGGCAGAAGTGCTAACCATTTAGCCACTGTGCCGCCCAAAAGCTAGTGTCAATATTTCTTTCAGAAGGCCCCATTTTTATAATTTCGTCCACAGGGTTCTGGGATTAAAAAAAAAAAGAAAAAAAAAAGCAAGGTTAATTATAGGTCCAGAGAGAGGGGGGTTAGAGAGAGAGAGGGGGGTTAGAGAGAGAGAGGAGAGAGAGGGAGAGGGATCTCTTCTTCATTGTCCTAGCTACCTGTCAGGGTGCCACTGCTCTCTCCAGGTTTGTATTCTGAGGCAGATTCTGTCAGTGGGGACTCCTCTTTGCTCTCATCTGCCATGCTCAGAATCCTGTAGGCCTCTTCACTAGAGTACCATTCTTTGGACATTTTGGCCACTAAAAAATAAAGCACACAATCTCCAAAATATATAGCAAACACATAGAGGGATCTGAATGCTGTTTTGTTAAAGCCATTTGCTGGCTAAATAGAATTTTTAAAAAAATGTTTTGCATTGGTAGAGGGTATTGCCATTGCCCACCCTCCATGCATAATGGGCATTTAAAATTTGACAGATTAAGCTCCCATTGGTTTTAGTAGAGTTTTAGTTTGGCATCCAAACTTTTTTGAAGTTCAACTAACCCCTTCTGAACTGATCCCAGCTCATCATTATCCAGGTACTCCATTTAGGCTGAAGTATCTCCATGGTGCTTCAATCCCAATGATCAGCATACTAGGCCTCAAACCTAACTCTCTATCCAGGTAGATGGTCACCGTCCTCAGGTAGCAGTCTGGGGAGGATCCAACAGCCACCTACGTTCCTGCCCGAGGCAGAAGACCTGGGGTTAAGACTGATTTAACAAAGTCTGTCCTGAATGCCTACACCCTCTTCCAGCTTGCACCACTGGCAATGGACTTCCTAGTGGTTGGCCACGGAGATATAAATATTCATAGCTCTAATTAGTGTAGCCTTTCACACTTTTTTTCATGGCCACTCCCCAGCAGCAGGCAGAAGCAAAAAAAAAAAAAACTGCACAGGAGATAGCCAAGAAAGTTGAACTATCAATCCAACTCAGGCTGACTACAGCCTAGCAAAAACCACATTTTAATATAGACTTCTGCTTCATCTAAAAACTGAAAATACTAAAAATTCCATTTAAATGCCATTACTTTCAGCATGGGGAGACTATTACTTGTCCATCAGCTGTAATAACACAGGTTGGCTTATGTGCCTGTTGAAAGCTGAGGTTATGGAATCTTTCTGCCTGCATAGTTTATCATGCATGTCTGAATGCAGCTGATTACGAAGAACAGAGACCGAATTACTCAGCAGATATTTCTGTCTTATTATGTGAAACATAATAAACACCAAGACAAAAACAACAGCTGGGAGGAAAATACCAAATGTCCCTTAGAGAAAACCACATGTTCTTGCAGCTTAGATCTACCATAGCTTAAGAGGAATATTTCACAATCACTCGTGGGGCCTAAGCAGGCAAACGAGTGTCAGGTCCATTAGGGGTTAAACGAGGCAGTCTCAGGGTGAAAGTATCTGGCCCATTGACTATGTGTGGGTCATTAAACTTTTTTAAGAGTCAAGAAGGACTGTCCACACCCCATTACCTCACTACTGTGTGTGAAATGTGCCACAGAAAAACCTGTTATACATCTGCTTATAATACCGGCAGAGGCACGTCTACATGGAAACGAGCCTAGGCAGTCTTAAATTATGCCACTTTAGAAGTCTAAAGGCCTGAAATGAAGTATACGTACACGCTGCCCTCTACACTGTGCTTGGAGAGAACAAAGATGTATGACAAAAGCTGTCTTCAATGTTTTTATATAAAGCTGTGCATACAGCACATGTACTGTATTTTGTAGGTCTCATAGTGTACACAAGATTTTCCAGAGCAGCACTAAAAATAACACAAAAAAGGTAAATTAAAGTATTTTGAAACTGCTTTTATAAAGTTATTATTGCTTTTTATAAACTCAGTATTAAAAACCTCATATTTAACATATAAGACCAAGTGCAGACCTTTGCATTGTGTTACCATACATTAACTCCATTTGTAGGAAAGCTAAAGTTTTGAATGGGTTTCCAAGGATCCTCAACAGACCTTCAACGCACCCACCTGCTTGTTTTCCAACTAACCACAATGCACAGATGGTTCTCATCTAGGTGCTGTGGGGCACTTAAAGGCAAGTCTGTCACAGTGTTGGTGATGAATAATACTGCAACATGCCACACCAAAAAAGAACAATGAAAAAGAAGCAGTTTATCTGCCCGCTGTTTGTATGGTACCTGACAAGACGTTTCTGAGACACAGGTGTCCGTTTATGAACCAGCAGTAATAGATCGCTGCTCAGTTCTCCGGCATTCTCAGAGAACACAGTTCTCCTGTGAATGCCGTTTATGAAGCATATGTAGATCAGTTCTCCAAACGCTGGAGAACGGTCTACAAATGCTGGAAAACGGCTGATTTTACTATAATCTTACGAGATTATAGTAAAAGATCAGTTTACTAAGCAGAGGTAAATTATCTCTGCTTAGTTTTCGGTCCCTCCGATTCTCCAGCTCTGGGCTGGAGAATCTGGAGGGAGAACACAGATCTCCAGAGAAGGGCTGAACATATTCTCCTGGGTGTTATAAACTGTGAATGACCAGAGAATAGCTGTGATCCTCTGAATCTCAGCTATTCTGTGTGTCATAAATGGACACCACAATCTTTCCAACACTAGAGATTCAATAGCAAAATGTCTCGGTTAAAGGGATGAGGTTTGGATTGGCCACTACAATGGGTTTGAGATTTGCAGTCCTGGTGAATTTATGTGCAGGTTCACCTAGGATCACTTTTTAAAAGCCATAATGCATTGAACCTTGAACTACTTTGAACTATGGCCAGCAGGTTTAGAAGGAACAATAAGGTCTTTTTTAAAAAAAAAGTCAGCCCCCTCACTTTAAAAGGGGGCAAGGAGTAGCCACAGTGTCAGTGTATTGGCAGCTACTGTAGGAAAAGCTAACAAACTGAATAGAGAGAGATAACTGTCATTAGTGTGGTTGCTAGCTCTTTTAGGCACTCAACCATTTTGCTGTCTTTTTTGT